GGTTACGTGCTCTACAAACATACATGATACAGAAAAGAGGGGTGTTTTATGCCTCACCTCGCTGTCCCGCAAACAGGAGAAGCCTCAACCGCTACAAGGTCCACGGAACACCAACAAACAGCCAGAAGCCTCAGTCCTCCCTAAAAGAATAAGTCATTTCACACGAGTAAGTAATTACCTTTATATCACCATAAGATAATGGATACATGAGGCAGCAAATTGGCAATCAACACATAGGCAGCAAGTTCCCAGCAGCTGGCTAAGATTGACAGAAAGGGCGCAGCACAAAAAAAAATCCAAACATAACAGAAAGCAATCAAACCAATATGAAGTGGGCAAGTCTAAACAAAGTTGTTTAACTGGCCACATTCATACATGGTTAGAAAGAAGAGAACTCGGAATTTTGCTGTAGGAAAAAGCTGTAATGTATGTAGGTGAATGTTAGCTAGTTATTAAGCTACAGATCGTAACAAGACCTTTCTAACTATTTATATGAAAACACATGCACACAATGCCTTACCTTGAGAGTGGCGATCATTCCCACCCCCTCCCATAAACCCAGTCAAGACCTTTCTAACTATTTATATGAAAACACATGCACACAAATCAGGACATGGAAAAAACAAACACAGCATGTGAATTCAACATGTAACCTGTATGGAATCAATATGTAACATCACTATATAATTAATGCTCTCCATTTAGAAATGGCAGAAAAGAGAAAGGAGAGAGAGAGAGTTGAATGCATATGCATAAACAGGTGAGAGTCCTCATGTTACATCTAAAGGAAAAGCATGTAGCCTGGCACTGCCTACTACTAAATACCACAAATTCTCAACTTGACACAATGCATGAACATGACTAGCTTCTAGATAATACTGTCATTTTCTTACCAGAGACATTTCTTTTTTAGAGGATGCCAATGGGTTTATACAACAAAACAGTAGATGTACTACATACAAGTGACTAATCAAAATTGTGAAGGACACTATAGGCTAACACATGAAAAGAAATTAGACCGAATCATAAAATCTTACAAAAGGTAAGCATTGACAAATGAATGATGATGTGCTTGCCCAGTACCTACAAAGCCAAGTTTTACTCGAAGGCCCACTTTTGGCCTGGAAGACAAGTTGTCCAGTACCTACAAAGAAATTAGAAGTCCTATTGTGATACGCAAAATCAAGTTGTCTCTGGAAGGCCTATTTTTTATATGGATCAGCCCACTGATCAAGCACTTCACCGGTAAAAAACAAAATATAGCACTTAGTTTGTGACAAATTACAATATTCTAGGAATAGAGATTTCAAATGTCAAAACTCATGACACTGTAAACAAGTGACAAATCAGGTTTCTGTAAAACAGTATTAGACTAAAAATTGCCCCACTCGTTAAACCTTACAAAGGCGACTAACAATTAGCCCACTCGCCAAACCTTACAAAGGGGTCAGTTGTTGACAAATCATGTGCCATCCCATTATGCATGTGGTGAAACTGCCCATACCAAGAGGCATGGTACCTAAAATCAAACCTAGAACCCTTATTTACGGTGTGGGCAAGTTTAAAACCAAACTGCGCAAACCTAGAAGCCTTATTTTTGGTCTGGAGAAGTTCATCCTATTCCAGCAACTGGATTGCTTCTGCTTGCTCGGCTGTTTTTGTAGATTGCTGATGCTCATGAGATTCGGTCTTACTAGGGTAGGGTGCTACTGTCGGATACTACGTGCTAGCTATATTCTCTGTTTGGTAGCCACTGAAATGACTCAGCTTCTAGAGAATTACTTCAGTGAGCTAAATACTCTGTTCATTATTGCTTCCTGCAGATCTCAAGCAGCCGATTAGTTGGACTTTTTTTTATATACTTATTACTACCTTGCAATCTAGTAAAAGATGAACTCGACATGCCGAGCTTCAAAAGCGGCAAAGTCAACAATCAATTACCACAGGTTTTCATTAGATGAGCACCACTTATTTGAGCCAGATGCTTTGATTACTAAGGAGCGAGATGCCAATCATCAATCAAGACAAAGTTCTCAATCTTGCAGAACATATGCTTGCAGAAGATTGACCACTCCCCAGTTTGTATCTGCATTGGCTGGAATCTGGAATCTTGTTGGCCAGCCTGAATCATCTGGCACAACTCAAAGATCTGAGATTCATGGGACTTCGAGTAGGGAAGACCATGTGTGCTTTAGCAGGGATCAACAAGGAAATATACTGACACCTTGCTATGTGGAAAGCTCAAGTGGTCTGAGATCTCAAAACTGTTTGTCTACACCTAAAAAAATTTATGAGGATCTTATTTCGGTAAAGAAGATGTTGATGCTGACACCATTCAATAGCGTTATTGGTGCATCATCCACATGGAGGCATATGTCCGCAAATAAGGTTGGAGGTGCACATTATTTGCACTGTGGAAATATATACTCTATGCTAACTGAAAAGATTGGGACTTCTCAGAGTAGCAAAAGAAGCATGTGTGAGGAAACTTATGCTTGTTCCACCAATATGGACATTAGGGACGATAGCTATTTGAATCAAACAAGAAGCACGCCTGACGAGCTATTTACTATCTCAAATGAAGAAGCTAGCAGTACACATGATCGTGAAAGTTCTCAACACAATACTGAATGTAATCTAGAAATTTTCCAAGAAGAAAATATTTTTTTAGCTTGCCCAGTGCACGAAATGGAAATTGGCAAAGACACGAGGATAATGCCAGGAAATCAGATTTTCAGTAAGGCATGCACAGATGTTCAGCTTGACAAAAAAAAACTAAAACCAGTTCTTATTTGCTACCACATCCAGTCCAGATGGCAGAGTATCTATATATTGCATAGTAATCACCATGCAATTTAGAACAAGGGTTGGCAAGCAAATGCAGAGAATACTGCTGGTAGGCTAAATAAGGCTGAACTAATCTGGACTAATGCTCCACCCAACGACAGTAATTTTCCTTTGCAGCTACTTTGTGGGATTTGTTGGAAAATGAATTTGGCATCCAAATACTCCAGCACATAAACATTTTAAGACTAGGAACAATGTGTTCTTCAAATCAACAACAAAATTATAGCTAGGGTCAGATGGCTGTGTTGATTGACCCCTCCCCTCCCCCCAATCCTGCTGCTGCTTGCTTTATCAGCTTTATCAGCAACAGATGCATATGAATGCATGCATCGCGTATTATTCCCTATGCACTTATCTAATCGAAATCAAAATTTGCCACTTCTGAAAACCGAAATCAAAACTGAAACGAGTCCCAAATCGGAAGCAACCGAGCAGGGCGACTTTGAGTTACCTGGGTCGCCGTAGAACAGCTGTCGTCGGAGAGGCGGCGGCACACAGTAGAAGCCGCCCCAGAGGTCGTCGGAGTGGCGTCGAGCAAGGCTCCTGAAGCGGGCAGGCACCGAGGTGGCGCAGGACTCGGCTGGGGCAAAGGGCGGGGTCGTGCTCGCTTTCGGTTTCACAAGGGGATGAGACAGGCGTGGGCCAGCCCGGTGGTGTGGCGAACCGGCCAAGGGGTGGAGGTCGGCGGCGGAGGCGGGGTGGGGAGGAAGGGCCGTGGAGTGGGGAGGGAGGCGGCGGAGGGTTGCGGTGGAGGGTGTGCGGTCGTCGGCGTGGGGAGGAGAGCTCGGCCGGCGCGGCGGGCGTGGGGAGCACGATGGAGTGGGCGGGGGGAGGCGCATGGGGGGGGAGCCTGACGGTGCTGAGGAGGAGGAGGGAGGTCGACGGGCGGCGTCGCGTGGAAATGAAATGAACAGAGCCGCCAGCGCCTAGTTATTTTATGGCTCGTTTGCTGAGTGTCGGCCTGATACGACACTCGGCAACGTTTTTTTAAAAAAAATCCCATCAGTTTGCCGAGTGTCGGCCGATGGCGCACTCGGTAAACTACTTAAAAAAAACCCTAAACGCCTAGTTGCCGAGTGCCGTGACGATTGGGCACTCGGCAAACATTTTTTTTAAAAAGTGCCCTCCTATTTTCTCTATTTTAAAAAATCCCTATTCTCCTTAACAAAAATTTTAAAAAAAATTATTACATTTTTGCCGAGTGCCAGCTATGCAGCACTCGGCAAACTTATTTCTATATTTCATGCTGCCCTTTTCTTTCCACTACTTAATTACTTTCCTCTATTTCATGTTTCACTAATTTCATGAAATGAACTTGCATTACACTTTGTTAGGTGCACTCACAAATGTGAATTTCAAGCTTGTACAAAAATTTGACTATTATTTCATGTGTTTGTATATCACGCATCTAAAATTCAATAATTGCGACGAAAGAATTAAAATTATGAAATGGCTCCGAAAAATTGCCAAAAATTCACAAGAAGCGATTTTTGTTCTCTATTGTATATACAAAAAATTTTGAAGTGAAACTCCAAATCGACATTCAAATTGTCTCCTCATCTTACCGGATCTTTCTTAAATCTCAGAAACTTTTTCGGAGATGATCCGATTTGTAAGCAGCGTACGTGTCAACTTTGCCGAAACACTCTCAATTTTTTACCATAGCCTCCACGTATGATATCATGACAACTCGACAAATTTCGTGATTTTCAGACTTCGTTTGCTTTTTATAGAATTTTCAGACTTTTCCGCCACGCATTTCTGCTCATGTTTCGCGATCACAATGTTCGAAATTTCTGGTCTGGCCCTGGATACGGACTCAAAACAGACTCAGTGACAAGAATATCATTTTTTATTCACTTTTTCGGATATTCAAAGCGCTTGCAGTTCAAATAAAAAAATTACCGAAAATTCATTTGACTAAAATAAATTGACGAAATATAGTAAAATAACTTAGAAATGTACAAAACTTCAACACAGAGCAACAGGTATTGTAAGACAACAGTACAAAAAGTTTGGGAGGTAAAATCAAAAAAAAAATTGTTTGCCGAGTGTCATATTCTAACACTCGGCATATAGTAGGATTTGCCGAGCGTTGTACTTTGACACTCGCATATAGGTTGGTTTGCCGTGTGTTAACGGCATAACGGTGGATGGCGCTGGCCGCCAGCGCGCTCATCCAGTGCTGCGCGGGGAGCTCCTACTGCTTCGGGGTCTACTCCGCGGCGCTCAAGGCCTCGCAGCGCTACGACCAGTCCGCGCTCGACGCCGTCGCCTTCTTCAAGGACGTCGGCGCCAACGCCGGGGTCCTCTCGGGTCTCCTCGCCGCGTGGGCGCCGTGGGGGCGGAGGCGCCCCTGGCTCGTCCTCCTCGCCGGCGCCCTACTCTGCGTCGCCGGGTACCTCCCCATGTGGCTCGCCGTCGCGGGGGTCGCGCCCGCGCCGCTCCCGCTCATGTGCCTCTACATGCTGCTCGCCGCGCAGGCGCAGACTTTCTTCAACACCGCAGATGTTGTCTCCGCCGTCGAGAACTTCCCCGACCGACGAGGAACCGTCATCGGCATCATGAAGGCAGGTCACAATTGCTCTGCTCTGCTTTGTCTTCCCATTATTTCGGAATGCGATCGAGAATATTTGATCTGAGAAATTGTCATCACTGTGCTACCTAGTACTTATTTTTTTAGCTTTATTATAGACCGACGATCTTATAGACTGTACTACGTTGCTACTTCTGTACTCCACTTCCCTTTCAACAACAGACCTTCAGACAACAGTAGAGTTGTTATTGGGTTGGAGCCCTCAACTGACACTTGAAAGTTGAAACCAGCCACAACACATTACCTCTCACGTTTTTCTGGTGACCTTACCTGTCATTCAGTACTTTGCTTATGAGATCTGGTGCCTTATTGGATAACATGAATTTTGATCATGTCCTGCTCCTGGATGCCGCTGTCCCACCAAACTGTTTGGATCAGATTCTATCAATTATCTTCGTTTTGCATCAAACTTCAGTCTAGTATGATGAAAGCTATTTGTTTGTCAGTTTTGGTTTGAACCCGAACCATGTTAATTCACTCCCAGCCAATTGACAGGAATTTTTTTTTTCCGAACCGAGGGTTCCTCCATTTCCATTAACAAACGGAAATACAGATGTTTGAGCAAGCAGTTAAAAAGAAAACAGATACGGGTGACCTATATCTGTATGCCACCTGACAGTCAAGTGACAGGAAATTCCTATTGATCCCACATTCCCAACTGCAGTTCCATACTAATGCTGGCAGTTTTGACCCCCAACTGACATCAATTCATTTTTGTTTACTTTTGCAACAGGGTTTTCTAGGCCTAAGTGGGGCAATACTTGTCCAAATTTACCGCACTCTCCACATTGATCCCAGCTCTTTCATACTGATGCTGGCAGTTTTGCCCACAGCCGTCACATTGGTGCTTATGTATTTTGTGGATGTCCACAACCCCAATGAACGGTACAACAAGAAATTCCTAGACGCTTTCTCCCTCATTGCTGTTACTGTTGCCGGATACTTGATGATTCTCATAATCTGTGGTCAAATTTTCTCGATAAGCTCAGCTGTGCAGAGCATTTGTTTCGTGGTACTCTTGATACTAGTGATGTCTCCGATAGCCGTCGCTTTAAAGTTCCAGACACCACATGAGGAATCAATCTCAGAACAAAGGACTGGACTGCTCCGTGAAGAGGTCGCAGAGGATTCTGAAAATGCTACCTCCAGTACCGCACTTGGGGGACCTGACCAAGACCTGTCTGCTGGCAAAGAGAACCTGAATGTATTACAGGCCATGTGCAAACTCAACTTCTGGTTGCTCTTCCTAGCAATGGCTTGCGGAATGGGATCAGGTCTGGCCACGGTGAACAATATCAGCCAGATCGGCGGATCACTTGGCTACACGACCAAGGAGACCAGCACACTTGTGTCACTCTGGAGCATATGGAACTTTTCAGGGCGGTTCGGTGCAGGCTTCATATCTGACCATTTCCTTCGCCAGCGAGGAATTGGGAGGCCATTCTTTATAGGTGTTACGCTGCTGATCATGAGCGCCGGTCATGCCATCATCTCCTCCGGTCTCCCTGCATCACTCTACATTGGGTCGGTGCTGATCGGCATGTGCTATGGGTGTCAGTGGGCCCTGATGCCGAGCATAACATCTGAGATCTTTGGGCTGAACCATTTTGGCACAATATTCAACATGGTGGCTGTTGCGAGCCCTGTTGGGTCTTACATCCTCTCGGTGCGCATTGTGGGCTACATATATGACATCGAATCTCCACCAGATGAGCAGTCCTGTGTAGGTAAGCAATGCTTTGCGCTCTCTTTCATGATCATGGCCGGTGTCTGTATGTTTGGGTCTGCTGCTGCGTTTGTGTTGTTTATCAGAACAAGGAAGTTCTATAGGCGTGTCATATACGCGAGGTTGCAGTCTTTTCTAGACTAGTGATAAGTCTTCATGAAAGATGATGGTATAACTTGCAATAATGCTTGTACATGTATATTATGTGAGTATTTGTATAAGCCTGAATATAACTTTTGGAGATTATTACATAGATGGAACATGATCTTCCACTCGTGGCCCGAACAAATATATACCTTCTACCATCGCTCTACGACTAGGATTGATGTGTGGCTCCTATACTTCTTCTGTGAATTTACGATTGAAAAGGGGAAACCATATATACTGTCTTAGCCTATATGTACATCTTGGATGGATTTATAGCATGTACAAATGTGAGAAGAAGATGAAGTGTCACAGTTGTTTCCTGTTTCCACAAATATCAATGCCTGTTTAACCCCCTTATCCTCAGTAACTATAGATGGATGTTTTTCTCACTTTACTTTCGAGAATGTGCAATGCACGTTTTTTTTATAAGAATGTGGAAGAAACAAGGATTACACGGCACTGCCTGAAACAAGGATTACACGGCACTGCCTAAAAGTAGAGGACGAGAGCAGGGGTTACATGAAAGAAATTTACAGAGCAACTTGATAACCTATAGCACAACCGACAGCAGGCCTTACTGTGTTATTGAACAATGAGGATTGGCCACAAAACACGGAAAAAGGCTACTGGATTGCTTGATTTGGAGAGAGTGACACATTACATGTGCTTCTCTGAACATGAATGAACCACAACCACTCAGACTCCTAGTGCAGTAGTGCATATAGGACACTGCATTATTCAGCTATCTTTCTCCATCACTTCACCAGTAAGCGAGCTCATTCTGTACTTGTCACTTGTCGCCTTCCTTGATTTCTCCGTTGCTCATCTTGCTGTCCTTCCCTTTGTCTTCTCCTCTGTTTTCTGTTGCCTCCGCCGCTGCCTTGTCTTTCTCTTTGGCCTCCTTTGCCTCCTTCTTCTGCCTTCTCCTTCGCCTTGGCCGCCTCAGCCAGCGCCTTAGCGGCCGCCTCCTCTTTGGCTTGCTTCAGAGCCTCCACAAGACCCTCGAAGCATGCGTTGGCGTCCCTTTTCTTCTTCTTGGACATGGGCATCAGGTTCTCGGCCACATCTGCCGGCGACATGTCTGTCTCCTCGAGCAGCTGCGCTATCTGGCCGAACAGCTCGTGCTCCTTGACGTCGAGGTAGTTCTTGGCGAGCACCTTGAAGGCCCGGAAGCGGCAGTAGGACATCTCGATGTGCCTATCCATCCTGCCTCGCCGGATCAGCGCCGGGTCCAGTTTGTCCTTATGGTTGGTTGTGAAGATGATGATGCGCTCGCCGCCGCACGCCGACCACAGGCCATCGATGAAGTTGAGCAGCCCTGAAAGCGTCACCTTCGTGCCGTCGTCCTTGTCGGGATCCGTCGGCAGCTTGGGCTTGTCGTCACTGTCTGCATCGGCCTTCTTCTCCGCCTTCTTGTCCTTGCGCATGCCAGTGAGGTCGACGGAGCAGTCGATGTCCTCGATGACGATGATGGACTTGCCGGTTGTCTCGATGAAGAGCTTCCGCAGCTCAGTGTTGTTCTTGACCGCCGTGAGCTCGAGGTCGTAGACGTCGTAGTCGAGGAAGTTGGCCATGGCGGCGATCATGGTGGACTTGCCGGTGCCTGGGGGCCCATAGAGCAGGTACCCTCGCTTCCACGGCTTGCCGACCTTGGTGTAGTAGTCCTTAGCCTCCCGGAACGCCTGGAGCTCGTCAAGGATCTCCTCCTTGTCGTCGGGGTCCATGGCGAGCGTGTCGAACGTGGCCGGGTGCTCGAACGGGACGTGGCTCCAGACGTTCTTGCCACGGTAAGAGTTCCAGCTGCCGCTGGGGTTGTTGGTGAAGAGGCGGCGCTGGCGGTTGCGGACGGTGACGGCGCGGCCTTCCTCGAGGACGTACGGCAGGTACCTGTCGACGACGAGGTCGCGGTGGCGCCGGTGGAAGACGACCCGGTAGAAGCGGCGCACTTCCTCGCCGGGGTAGAAGCTGATGACTTGGGACCCGGCGAACTGCTTGCAGGCGTACCACCAGATGGTGGCCCCGGCGAAGGCGTCGGTGACCTCGTCGTTGTCGTCGACGGAGACCTGGAGGTTCTTGCTGTTCTTGCCGAGCTCGGCCCTGAGCTTGCGCGCGCGGCGTGCGCAGGCGTCGGATAGGTAGGCCTCGACAGCAAGGTAGAAGTCGCTGCGGTGGAAGCCCTCGGCGCCGTACTCGTTGATGGTGATCTCCAGGTAGGGGCTGAAGAAAGAGACGAGCTTGTTTCCCCATGTGCTGAGGCGGTAGCGGAAGGCGACGGGGATGTGGTTCTGCACCACGGACCAGAGGAAGAAGAAGCTTGCCAGCGCCGATCCCAGGCCTGTCCACTTGTCCATCATTGCCATGGCTGCTGACCCCGACTGCTCCTTGTTACTCGTACACGAGTATTAGCTAGTGGTGATTCCGTGACTAGTGAGTTCAGTGAATAATGTGGCTCCCATAATGGTGTAAAGTTGCCTGGTTAGTGGCCTGGTTACCGTCGTCTCGTCGGAAGGAAGGAGCAGGTGAGGCGGAGCTGTCGCCGTTGTCCGGTGAATAATGTGGATCCACACGTACAAGTTTTTTTTTCTTTGAAAAAAAGATGATGTGTGGGGTCCATCCAATGGCAGGCAAATTCAAGCAAAGCTAGCAAAGGAAGAATTTGCTTTGGAAACAGAGACCGCTCAAATGCGTCATCTATATGGACCTTATTACCATTAGTCGACTATCCTTCCTTTATTATAAGAAAAAGACTTAATTAGAGTACGGAACTTGGTCTAATTGGACGGATGCATGCGTGCAATGCAAGCTTATATCATATATCCATTGACCATTGTTAATGACATCTCTTGTCACCCTACTGTAAAATGCCGTTAATCAAAAGGACAACAACTGATAGTAGCATACAAAAAAGGAATTAAGATAAGAGACAAAGAAAGAAAGAAAAAGAAAATATGAGAAACAAGGAAGATTACAACAGACTTTGGATCCGAAAATCAAATTGAGGGAGGCTCTTCTTCTTGGCTATATGCAAGAGCAAGGAAAAGCTCCTTAAAGAAGTTTGACTTGCAAGCCAAAAGGTTCTAGCTGATTCGATTGAAGATCTGGTTATTCATAGCGGTCCAAATTGTCCACCTCATCAATATAGCTGCATTTGCTCCTTCGCAAGATGTTTCTGGTGCTAAGCCTGTATTTGAGAAGAAGGTAGAAAAAAGACCTTGTGTTTTGGTTGGCAGAAGGAATTCCAAAACCATTTAAAGGAAATATTTACTTGACCATGTCCAATCAGGGACTTATAATTAAGCTTTAGCAGAGGAGAAATAATTAGAGTTCCAGGTGTAAGTCGAAATGTCTGGGCCTTCATCTAAATGGAGATTTTCACACTTCAAGGAGAGCAACGAAAACTGAGCAAAATCCGATTTAGAGATAGGCAAGTGGAAGAGTTGCAACGCAGAATTTCTAGAGACAACCATCTTCACTGAAATAAACTTCTTTGCAAAGGAATGAAGCTCAAGTAACTCTAATCTTAAGACCTGCGAATGACAAAGATCATCCCCTAGAAGACACCTTTTTCTATCCACAATTTGGACAACAGTAAACCCCTTAAAGATGTCCAAAATTTTTAGAATATCCCTCAACCAAAAAGAGCCATTTTTCACATGATTTAGTAACCTTCCATTTGGGTAAAGTTTTTTCCCAAATAATGCTTACCCTATTGAAGAATTTATGTAAAATTTTCATCATTAGGGCTTCATTATGAGATTTTAGGTCAATCACCCCAAACCACCTTTCCTCCTTTGGCATACACACCATTTCCATGGCTGCCTTAGGAGGCTTTTCCGTTTTAGTCAGTTTCTCTCCAGAGATAGTGCTTTCTAAACTTGCCAATATGTTTGATGACTATAGCTTTTAGAATGAAAGTAGACATGAATAAAGTTGGGAGTGAGGAGAACACAACATTTACCAATTCTAGTCTACCGGCTTTGAAATGGAATGTTGAAGTACTGATTAGCCTTCTTTCACATTTACATATCAATGTTAAAAACTCCTCAACTTCTGGTTTGGAAAGTCCCAAAAGGTAAACCTAGGTAAGTGAAATGAAGAGATGCCTTAAAGCATCAAAACTTTTCTTTAGAGATGTTCTTCATAGATTTACTATAATTGACTCTGAGACTATGGTTGCTCAACTAAAGCTATGAAGTAAGGATTTTAGGAAAAACAACTGCCTTGCACATCCTTTCAAAATAATGAGGGTATCATCTACATATCTACATATTGCACAATTGGGATGTCTGAACTGTATTGCAAAAGAATTGGCGCATTCAGGAGGTCAATATCTTTAAATTTATTGACCAGGGATTGAAGAAAATTGTTACGGCCCAAGATGCGGAGCCATGCCTGCCATCAGAAGAGGAGGCCGCCACACATGGGCCTGGGCCGTATCCAAGGCACTCCACCAGGCCAAGGAAGCCGAGCACGCGCACCAGCGGAGTCGAGTGGGCGACAGCGTGAAACGGCCGGTCTCTGGGAAATCTGATAAATGTAATAGGTTAGAGGAGAGAGAGGGTAACCAGGAAAAGCTTGTATCAATTACCCTGCCTCCGGAGTCTTCCTCTGAACCGCCCCCTGGCTTGCTCTCCTTCCTTCCCTTCCAATCCAACTGTTACTCGTCGGAATCTATTAAACTTGTCTGGGTCGTGACAAATTGGTACTCAGAGCCCTCGATTCTTGGCCGATTTTTGATTTCCTTCACCTTGATCTGGGATCGTAACCCCCGACGGCTGGTTGATCGTCCTCAGTGCTACGGCAATGAGTGATGAACCCGTAGGTCCATGCCGAGGCTGATCTGATCGGTGTAGGAGTCAATCATCGGAAATCGATTCACCCTGGAGCCTCACCAAATAGACCACGATCATTTCACCCGCTTCCGCAAGCAGCTCGGAACCATGGATCTCAACACCAAACTCATTCTCGATGAGCTCAAGTCTGTGCAATCCAACCTC